AGCTGCCCTCGCCGCGGGACGTCTCGCTGGCCATTCACCAGGACCACCATCACCATCACCACCCTCACTCGTCAGCTGACTCATCATCTACGCACTACTCGCACATGACCACCGTGACCACCTACTTTGGCCAGCTGGTCTTTCACGACCTGGCGCAGGTGGCGGTGACCACCGGCTACAAGGGCCAGCGCATTCGCTGCTGTGGTCTGAAGAGCAGTAATAAGAAGAAGAATTCAGTGGATCAGCCGCAGCTGCTCCATCATCCTGAGTGCTTTCCCATAAAGGTGGACAAGGAACGGGACCCCTTCATGAGCCGCCTCCACCAGGAGTGCATCGAGTACGTGCGCTCCAGTCCGGCCACCAGGCGACACTGTGGCCTAGGCCCCAGAGAGCAGGTGAATCAGGTAAAAAGGATTAGAAAAGATGATGATGAAAATGGGAACAATATTTTCATGTTTTCCTGCTGAAAATTTAGGTCTCCTCATATCTGGACGGCTCCGTCCTCTACGGCTCCTCAAAGGCGGCCGCCGAAGCGTTGCGCACCTTCAGCGGTGGCCAGCTGAAGGCGATGCGCTTCAGCAAGCGCTCCAAGGAGATGCTGCCCATGCAGGAGGAGGGCGAGGATCAGGACTGCAAAATGACCACCGGAAGTGGTGGAAAGAACAGCAAACGGCGGTGCTTCAAGTCGGGCGATGATCGGTGAGATTTAGCTCCTCTTTCTTTTCCTTTTAAGCCACAAACTTATCATTTTTTGCTGTTTCAGTGTCAACGAAAACCTCGGCCTGGTGATCATGCACACGCTCTTCCTTCGCGAGCACAATCGACTGGCCCGCGAGCTGGCCGCCCTCAACCCGCACTGGACCGATGGGCGGCTGTACGAGGAGGCGCGCCGCATTGTGGGCGCCCTCTTGCAGAAGATCACCTACGGCGAGTTTCTGCCGTACGTCATCGGCGAGCAGNAGCACAATCGACTGGCCCGCGAGCTGGCCGCCCTCAACCCGCACTGGACCGATGGGCGGCTGTACGAGGAGGCGCGCCGCATCGTCGGCGCCCTCCTGCAGAAGATCACCTACGGCGAGTTTCTGCCGTACGTCATCGGCGAGCAGGCGCTGGACCACTATGAGCTGCGCCTCCTATCCGACGGCTTCTACGACGGCTACGACATGGCCGTGNCGTCGGCGCCCTCCTGCAGAAGATCACCTACGGCGAGTTTCTGCCGTACGTCATCGGCGAGCAGGCGCTGGACCACTATGAGCTGCGCCTCCTATCCGACGGCTTCTACGACGGCTACGACATGGCCGTGGACCCGACGGTGGACAGCGCCGCAGCAGCGGCCGTCTTTGCCTTTCTCTTCACGATGACGCCGCCGACGATGGAGCGCTACTCGAAGGAGCTGACCATGCTGGGCGCCATTCGCCAGACTGACTCGTACTTTAATCCCAGCGAGGTCTTTCCTTCATCCTCCTCTTCAGCGGCCGCCAGCAGATTTGACCAGTACCTGATGGGCATGATCAGCCAGAGCGGGCGGATGAACACCGACGCCACCGTCACCGATGAGATGACCAATAACGGGCTGACTGAGGAGGAGGAGGACGGAGTACCGAAGAAGAAAGGGAGCTCCTCCCACTCTGAAGGCTTCGATTTTGTGGCCATCACGCTGCAGCGAGGCCGCGACCACGGCCTGCCCGGCTACACCGAGTACCGAAGGGCCTGTCAGATTGAGCCGGTGGTCAGTCGGTGGGAGGACCTGGCCTCGGTGGTGAAGGGCGACGTGCTGAAGCGACTGAAAACGCTCTACAAGTATGAGGTCTTTTTAAAGTTTGGTTTTTACTTAATTTTTCTCAATTTGCATTACAGAGACGTCCGCGACATTGACCTCTTTACGGGCGGTCTCGCCGAGCAGCCACTGGTGGGCGCCCTGGTAGGGCCGACCTTTGCCTGTCTGCTGGCGCGGCAGTTCACCTTTCTGCGAAAGGGGGATCGATTTTGGTAGGCTTCCGGTGACCTTAGGATTTATTTTCTTTAATTTCTAACTTTTCTCTTCTCCTCTTTCACTAGGTTCGAAAACGACCTCCCGCCGTCCTCCTTCAGCAAGGCGCAGCTGACGGAGCTGCGCAAGGCCTCCCTCGCCCGTCTCCTCTGCGACAACGGTGACCAGACTGACTTCGTACAGCCACAGGCGATGGTCAGCTCCGACGTCTACCTGAACGCCTTTCAGTACTGCAACACGGCGGTCATTGCGCGGCCCGACCTGACTGCCTGGCGCGAGTCGCCCGCTGGCGCCCTCCACACTAACCTCTCCCTCCTGCTGAACAGTGGCCAGATTGTTGGCGGCGAGCTGAGGCGGGCGCGACGCTCTGCGGAATCGCTCTTTGCNACTGCCTGGCGCGAGTCGCCCGCTGGCGCCCTCCACACTAACCTCTCCCTCCTGCTGAACAGTGGCCAGATTGTTGGCGGCGAGCTGAGGCGGGCGCGACGCTCTGCGGAATCGCTCTTTGCACTGGAGAAAGAGCTTAAAACC